GACTAGGAACGTGAAAGGAAAAAAAGTTTCTGTGGCGGCATTCAAATCTGCAACCTTTCGCCATCAAGGCGAGTATCATATCCATTAAACACCTAAAACCTATGATACCTAAGTTCTAACCCCAGCTCTTTCCCTTATACAACTGACTGATTTGTACACACATGAGCTATGATTAAGGTATAAGAGATAGGCTTTTCTTGCATTACCACAAGACGTTTTTGAACTTATCTCTTTACGTGTTACTTTCAAAATAAATACAAATAGTACCTTTATTTTGTCAATGATTTCTTGGTCGTATGTAACGTTTTTATTAATAGCAATGAGGACGTTCGTGTACTCGTTATTTTCCAAAACTACCTGATTGCGAGTTTTTGAACTAGCCACTATAACAATACATATATAAAATAAAAATGCCGAGGTTGATAACCGTTTATCCATGTTGAAGTGCAGAGATTTATCTCTCTTTAACGTGAGCGCGCCAACATATAAATGCATCAGTCACGGAGCTTAGATTTTATTTAAAAAAAGAAATCACGTGCTTTTTAAAATAATTATTGTAACGCTTATCTTTTATTTGTACAACATAAAAACAATTATAGATCTACATCGAAATGTCCACTGATTAATCTCAGATAAAATACTATATTACATACTCCAAGTATCGACATGCACGCCATCGTGTCGGGATTTAATATTTCGACATTAATTATTTCATCATCAGGAATTCCTGATGATGGCATAATTAATGAATTTCTGATGATGACATAATTCATGTCGAATTATTAAATCCAGACACGATGGCGTGCATTTCGATACTAGGAGTATGTATACTATCCTACACAAACATGTTATCAGTATGGAAAGCAAAGGTAAATAAAGACATTGCTGTGTTCAATGTTCAAAATTTATGATTATACCATCACTTAAACCCTGTTTAGAGATTTTATGAATCATATCATCATAAATTTACAAAAAAAATATATCTTTCCAAATGATTGTAGGAGGAGCGTGTATCGTATTGATATCTGTTATTTGCCATGGACTGTCTAATAGACATACGCTCGAGTGCTATAGATAGTTGCTTTGATCGGATTTGAAATCCCAACACAGCCTCATTGGTCTAGTTAGTTAAGGCTTCTACACAGACAGCAGAAGGTCCTGGGTTCCAGGGGCGGATTTAGGGGGGGGGGCCGGCCCGGCCCCGGCCCCCCCTTTTGGGAGGTAAAAAAAAAGAAAAAAAAAGAAAAAAAAGAGAGAAAAAGAAAAAAATAATAGCCCAGAATGCCTCAAATGTTATGTTCGGGCGTCTAGAACACAAAAATTTCGCGGGGGCACGCCCCAGACCCCCTACGACAGTGTTGTCTCAATCGGCCCAACTTTCGGCCCCCGCTTCCGCCCCCCCCCCTTTTGGACATTTCTGGATCCGCCCCTGGGTTCGGTACCAAAATAAATATTTCCTTAATAGAGACACTAACTCAAAACGTTAGATTGTGCCCTTCTTAAGAGATTTAGCACTTAGTCATACAATAAGGATTATTTCAGTTGATTGACGAGTTACAATATTATATGAAATAAATAAAAAAAATGTAATTAAAACAACAAAAGTTGTATATTCTTTCACCAAAATGAATAGAGTAATGTGTTAGAAATCTGCAGAGTGAGGCTTACGGTATAGGTTTGAATTGCAGAAAAAAAAAAGAATATAAATCTCATAATTATGTGATACGCCTACAAATTAACACACAGTAGGCGTACCGATATCCAATGTACGAAAAGCAAAAATGCTAATGTTATCATTCAAAAAAACAATGACCGTGGATGGAATATTGTTATTTTTAATCTGTTGTAGTTGCAATGATACAATAACAAAATTTATGATACAATAAAAATGTTATTAGGGGTTAAAAATGTAATTATTTTACTACTTCTGGTACGATCAGAAATGACCGCTAAAAGAGGATTACTGTAGTGTTAAAAAATGACATTGAAAAATTTTGAATTACCTTTCAGCTAACTATTGTTAAGGGTTATATCACGCTTGTGTATGTGCTGTCTATTTTGAAATTTGTTTAAGAAACATTAGATAATGCGTTGATAATAATTGTTTGATTTCATTATCTCAATCTTTTGTATACGTTTCGTACCGTGGAATTTGTTAAACATACACGAGATAATGTGTTGATAATGATTTAAAGAGTTCATTATGTTGTTTTAATAAGCTTGGTCTTTCTTGGATATTGTCTCTAAGGTCACAGAACACATGTCTAGAACCAGTCAATCAATCAATCAATTTATGGGATCCCCTTTTGATAAAGAGGTACAAAAAAATGGCGTATCCGTAAAAAGAAACATACAAACATAAAATAAAACATAATTATACAAAAAACAAACAAACAAATAAACAAACAAACAAACAAAAAAACAAAACAAAAATTAAAATCAGAAATACAAAGTAAAACTGAATACAAGAAGGTATTGTAAGTTTTCCAGGAATATAAACTTAAACTACTGTCAAGCGATGGTATATTGTGTGGGAAGGGGGGAATGCGTGGGTTGCCAAACTTATTACTGGCTCTTTACTGAGAGGGAATTTGTTAGGCTTAAGTTTTAAATGACGTTCTGAGGATCGGGTTGCAATTAAGAGGCCTAATGCGGTGTCAGGCTGGTGTACCTTATGCCTTTGTGTGTGAACTAGGCAGTGGCGGTAATAACGCCACTCACACTGTCACGTCATCATTACACACATTTATTCAATCAATAGGAAAAAGAAACAATACAAGAATCCATTAATTTGGATCAAGCTTAGAAGCTGAGCTTGTCTCAGCTTGACACGGACGAGGCACAAATCAAATAAATCAAGAAATAAGCGAACAAAAGAATTAAACAACAATTACAAATTTACAATTAGGAACAAAAGTGAACAAGTTATAATTGATACATTTCTAAATAATTGATTTTCATCTATTTTCTAAATAATTTAACATTTGTGCAAATTTTTAATTTATCATCAATTAGTATTCCATAACTTGGGTCCGTAGACCGTAATAAAAAAATGACTTTTACTGAGTCTAACATAAGGAACATAGAGTAAGCTTTCATTCTTTAATACCATTAATACTTGAAGAAATTTGAAAAATTGCAAGGGTGGAAGTTGGGAGTTGACCTTTAACATGTTGAAACATAAAAGAAGAAACTTGTACTGCTCTGTGCAAATCAAACATTTTAAAAATATTTAGTATTTTAAACAGAGGCTCAGTCGGAGATGTAAAAGAAGCTGAATTAATTATTCTAAAAACATGTTTTTGAGGTTGAGGTATTCTGTCCAGTTTGAGGGGTAATCACTGTACCACACGAGGTTATATTGTAGATATGGTGATATAATTGTATTATATAAATTAATTAAAATATATCGTGGAAAAAAAGACTTTAATCTATTTATTATTCAGATTTTGATATTTTATTAAAAAAATAGTTTTGGTGGGATTTTCAACTTAAATTTTCATGTAGGCCTATATATTTCTAAGAATAAGGTTTCCGATTATCGTTGAATAATGTGTTTATTTAGAGCGATATTATGATTAGATAAGTTAACTTTCTTTTGTTGTGGATGAAATAATATATAATTTGTTTTTTAATGTTAATTTAAAGCTTATTTTTGCATTGAAGCAAGAACCTATTGTTTGTAACTCATTATTTATCGTATTAAATAAAACATCGAGATTATCATGAGAGTAAAAGAATGTTTTATCGCCGGGGTCAATGCCACTCCAAACCCCCAGATTAGCTAACGCCGTGCAACTTACGCCATTGACACTTGAATGATTTTGACCTAAAATCAAGCTGATTGCCAATCGCCATTAGTTTTGCCCATGAAGATTCATCCTCTGAATCAGATGCTGGCAGTGAACTTGTCTACGGCGAATTGATTTTTAATATTTGACCAAAACCAAACAAAACAAGCACGGTTTCCGTGTCTGGGCGTACATTATTATACACCTCAAGCTACACTTTCTTTAATGAAATGAAGTAAAAACGACAGAAGCGAAACAGTAAAACGTTAGGAAACATCATCAACATCGTTTACAGCAGACAATAACGCCGTGGCTGTATTTAATACAGAAAGGCTGCTGACGTTTTAAACACCAGAGTTAATAGTGAAAGCCGTGGATTGGCTTACGCTTGGCGAAGCCTACACCAGCCTTACCACGTGTGTGATCGTACACTAAGTGGCAAAGGCCGAAATTGCAAAAGGTCTGAGGGAAACTACAGACAGGGTAGCAAATGGCCGAGTCATGGTAATGAGCCAGGTCGCAACAGGACTGGAACACCCAGTGACTACAACAATACTCGAGCGAATCGATAGCTGTAAATTGAACTTTTGGACCGTCAAACAACGTTTCTATACCCTATCTGTTAATAAATAACGGATCGGCTATTTCCATTTGGGGTAAACATTTCTACCGATCATTCTTTACTATTTTACAATCCCCACGATATTATCTTCTTTATAAGACAATCGTGCAGGTACTATCACCGTTCTTTGCCATAGTGTTGTTTTGTCGACTTACTAATAAATACTTGCAAAGGTATAATTTTCCCTGGAATCACATATATATGGTCGATCCCATTTAAAAATAAATGAGTCTGCACAAGGTCAGGTCTAAGTCTTGTCAACACGCGTCACATACACAAACTGGGGTACTGTTTAAGCAAAAGTTATGAATATGGAAACATAATGTTGCAGATTTACTGTTAGCACTGAATTAACCCCTTGAGATTTGACATTTGAATTAATGACGCAGTGACAAGCATGCAAGTTTTTCACAATGACGAGTCTTCTCCAGAAAATCCAAATATTTTTCGCCCAAAACAGGTTAGTAGAGACTTCCATTTAAGTAATACAACTCAACATTGCATAACCCTACAATACTTGTTCACGCTCGAGACTACAAGAGCTTAGCCGAAACCGTCAGAGACTGTTCCTACGTTCATCATTAGCAATGTTGGACGACCAACTAGGTGCATTTCTTTTCTTAAAAACAATAATTCCACAAATCAAGATGCAATTTGCCATTTCTAGTTTACAATGATTTGTTATTCTATGTATCATATTTGACGAAAATTAAATTCATAAACGAATAGAATAATTATACAGATCGTCTCTAATACAATTATAGATATGAAGTATGTATGGTACCTTATCAATACTTGGAGTATGTATTATACTATCTTATGGGATTGGCATTTAAAATAACGTTATTTGGATAGGTAAATTATTATTACTTTTTATTGTTGATCCGACAGATGAGAGTGAAGGGGGGGGGGGGGGGGCGGCCAGTCCTCTCTGACGTGGGTGGGCAATATCCTCCCTGCTCTTCGTCGGCACTACCACTGGTCTTCGTTTTATAATAAAAATAACAATAACAGTAACAATATTCTTTCTTCCAGCTTGACGTAATCAGTTACATTGACATATCAACTAGTCTTCTAAGGTAATATATTTTCTTATTGTTAATTAAAACGCTTAATGGAAAAGTTTGAATAATTACGAGGTTACCATTTTGTTATTTTAAGCAGTGAAGTGACCTTTTCCGCTAACCTATGCTCAAACTCCTAGCGTCCAAACAAAACGACAGTGTTAAAACTTGCGCAATGACGTGCGTTTGTAGTCGGACAATGTGCTTGTCAGACAATCCCAAATATCTGGACCTGTTCTATTTGGACAGTTTTGATATTTCCATTTTGCACTCCTTCCGGAAAGTCCATTACAGACTAATAGACCATTTTATCGGTTTTATTTTGAAACAGCGCCGGCCGCTATCATCTCGCAACACACTGGGGGAACTTCCAGTGGCCTAGCAAAGCCAGCAGGTAGCTGCAAATAGAGCGCCTCGCGCACACTGGTAACTACGTATTGCAAAGTGCGTAGGCCTCTGGAAGTCCCCACAGGTAGTTGTCAGGTTATCGGAAACTTTTATTTGAAATTTCGCAAAAATGATCTATAGATACTGCATGGCTGACAGTGGCCCACTCGGAATATACGGGATTTTTCTGCTATACGCGCGTGTGATTCGGTGGATCGCTTCACATGACTTACACCGGCGTATTAATTTCCTTAAATTCTACGGAGGGACATGGTTAGGAAAAATATTAAACTATTTCGAGGGAACAAAATAATATTTCAAGGGAACGAAATAATATTTCGAGGGAACTAAATAATATTTCGAGGGATCGAAATAATATTTCGTTCGAACGAAATAATATTTCGAGGGAACTAAATAATATTTCAAAAAATTATTTCGTTCTCGCGAAATATTCTTTCGTTTCCTCGAAATATTATTTCGTTTCCTCGAAATATTATTTCGTTTCCTCAAAATATTAGTTCGTTCCCTCGAAATAGTTTAATATTTTCTTTAACCATGTCCCTTTAGGGGCTCCGTAATATTCCAAAAAAAGGAGAATTTGTGATTTTATTTAAACGTTGCAGGCAATCGAAAAAATCTCGCTATACACGTAGGCTAGTAATGCATTAAGGACTGTGCGGCCCCACTGCGCGGGAATCCACGTAGGCCTAGGCAAGCCTAGATTTCTGTACTAAATTATAATTGAAAATAAAAATTGAATCCTTCAATAAAAGCGAAAACTTGTCCAGTGGGCCCTGTGCTATGCAAACTTTCCCCATTGTGCTTTACAAAATAATTAATAATTGTGCAAGTAAGAAAATGTTTAAGATAAAAAAATAAAATAAAATAAATGTATATTTGATACAATACATTTTTAGTATTTTTGGTGCAGGATCCGTTGTTCTTGTTGCACTTGGAAAGAGGAAAGTTCGGGCTAAGGACGTAAGTAAGAAGTCAATGAACCAATTGTAATTTCAGCTGTGTATACCCGTGTTCAAGGTCAATCAGTGTTTTGTGTATGTCTGATTGGCCTTCATACGAGTATGTGCATTTAAAACTACTTCCCTACTGCATAAACACTTGCCTTCAAAATTTTGCGGAACTAGAGTACGTTATATTTGCTATGATTGCTTATAACAACAATCGTAATAGTCCACTGTCTTGTGTAATTACATTTGTATTAAATTATAAAAATGTTGAAACAATGACAAAAAAATTGTCAATTTTATGAAAACACATTTAAATGCTATTGTTTTTTTCTTCCTAATATTATAAAATTTAATCTGAATGTTTATACAATGTGAACAATTACGATATAAACAATCGTAATTGTTCACTGTCTTGTGTAATTACAGTCTATTATTTATCATTTAAAAAAACCAACAAACAAAAAACTATAATAATCTGCTATTGTTTTTTCTTCTAATTGTAATTTAATCTGAATGTTTTATATTTTAATATATATATAATATATATATACATACATATATATATATATATATATATATATATATACACTTTTTTTGGAGGAAATGAATTAAATATTTCTCAAACCATTGAATCAACAAACAAGAAAGAAAAATACGTTATTACCTCATTTTGTGATTTTTTTAATCGACTTTAAATAATGACAAATAGTGACAATTCACGATAATACATTTGTGTCTTTGTGTGCTTTACTTCAAGGTATATCCTCTGTTCAATCTTTGTTTGGCAGACCTTTTGGCGTCCATATTTATATTTTCTAGTTCAGTGACGTATAGTCACCATTCATCAGCTGGCAGTATCTCCCATTTAAGAACTATTTAAATGAACATATATGGCTACGGGTCAAAAATAGGCTTAAGACCATGTAATCTAATCTGTTAAATTTGTCTTCATTTTCTTTAGGGTTTCTATATAAGCTCGTTTTCTTTATCTGTTATGTATGCATTTGAAGTTTACATGCGCGTCAAAGATAAACTGCAGTCAAACAGGCGTTTATCTGTTTTTTCCGTGAGTAGATTGAAATACTTATTATTGTATTTTCAAGTTATAATTAATTCAGAAGAGCGCCCTCAACGGCGACTTTTTTTTCAAAATTTACGAAAAATTGCTTTATTTTAAAGTCGATTTTGAAACAACTGTGCAGATTATTGTCTCAAAAACAAATTGCCTACAACATTACAAAACATATTGTACCTTCTGTGTAGTTATAACGAAATTTACCGATTTTCAAATAATTTGTGGCTATTTATACTCAGACGCCATGTTGCCCATCTTTCAACATGAAAATATTTTGTTATGTGCTTTCGTGGATCGTCCCAGTTGCTGTATCTGTTGCATTGATGGTTGTTATACAAGAAGAGGGACACAACGCAGATATTGCTGACCCCTGTGTCAACTATGAGTAAGAATTTTTTTAAATATCACATCCTGTGCTTGGGAGTACCTTCCCATCAGTAGCTAGAACCAGCGATTGGTATTTGATCATACCGGGTATCCATTGGATACCCCTAACCAGAGAGATAAATTTAGTTTACAAAAGTAACTCAATTATTAACAATAACAATAACAATAATAATAATAATAATAATAATAATAATAATAATAATAATAATAATAATAATAATAATAATGATACTTAATAATTCACTTTCACGAATTGTTTACTTAAATACTACAGCAGAGGGCCTACAAACAAGTGCCGGGAACCAAGGAGGCCAAGGCCTGTAATTAGGCTCCCGGACTAATCTAAATTATTTAGATTAAACTTAAGTAAAAGTTTAGTCTAAATAATAATAATAATAATAATAATAATAATAATAATAATAATAATAATAATAATAATAATAATAATAATATTAATAATAATAATAATAATAATAATAATATTAATAATAATAATAAACAACACAGTACACCTTTGCGTCTGTCTGTCAAACAACTGACCAATCAGAATAAAGCCAAGAATACTCCCTTGATGCACATACTCCTGTTGTCCCACTACCACACGTTTTTGTGTGAAACTTTAGGAAAAATATCAAAAATGGTGTTGGGTTGAGGCGGGGTTGTAAGAATGGATAGATTAATGGTATTGCAATCTTGATGGGGTTTTTTTTAGTAGCAGCATGAACAATGTTCCTCTTAAATAACTGAATTGGAAAATATAGGCACCTTTTTATATTTTGGTAGAAGTTATTTTATATCATTGTTGATTTTCGTCCTATATTTTCTTATAATTAAGTATTTAGAATCTCCTATTCATTGTGTGCTGAAAAACAAACATATGTTCTCATTAATAAAAAATATAAATAAACGAAAGTTGAATATTATAGAGTTATTGTGCTTGTTCTCTAGATGCCTACTGATGTTTCATCAGCAAAACGACGTGTGTTTAGTAAGTTTTGTTTATTTATTTTAATTTTTTCAATATGATATCGAATTCAAATTAAAACCTTGTAATTATAATCCGTTCAGACTGCCACCAACAATCAGTAGAAGTCGTTGCGTGGTGTAGCGCTCACAGTACAGGAAGCGGTTTAGACTTGGAGATAAACCAGGCTTGAGTTAAGCCCGGCTCAACGTTGCTTGGCGTTTAGACTAGCGGGTTTAGCCAGGCGAGAATTTGCATAATAATGAACCGTAACCAGGAAACGTGTTTCAAAACATTGCTCGCGAAACATTCGCTCGCTCACAGCGTACGTAATTGAATGCTGATTTTCGTTTCGTCAATGCAAGACCCCCACGCAACGATTAAAGCCCGGCTTAGAAAAGTTAAACACGGTGGCGCGCCAGGCTTAGTTACTATAGGAACACAGCCCGGCTTGAGATTAGCCACCTAGTTCAGACTGGCAGGTGGATAAACCTGGTGAGTTGAGCCGGGTTTATCCACCTAGTCTGAACTAGGCCTAAGGTTTGTATTTATATTGCTCAAAATACGAGTCTCGATACGCAGGCGTTGGGTTGTTAGTGCGACGCAGTAAGTGCCCGGCTTTATTGATACCATATTTATGTTTTGAGGTTAAAAGTAATAATATAGCACCATAATAATAATCGAAAGATTAACGATAAGGATAACAGTATATTTACCCTCTTTCAGAACCAAAGTCGTCTGGGAGATGAAGGTCGAATTGTTGCAAAGAGTTTGTTCATAGTTCCTTTAATCTTAGCCATGGCTACAATATTGGTCAGTTTCGTTTTCAGTGTTTGATCTATTAAATAAGCTAACTCCAAAAATAATTAGCTAAAAAACAAGCATATACTTAAGCATACCACTGTTATTTGTACTAAAGAAGTATCGTATTTGATTTATTTTACTTATTACTTAACTATTTATTTGTTTAATTTCAGGCAACGTATCTTGTATTTTTTTATTTACTGTAATGTAGTAATCTTTAAAATTATAATAATGCTATTTAATTTTGATTTTAAGGAAAGTATTATCATGACGTAAAATTGTAAATCTGATGATGACATATCAAGTGTTAATGATGTCACTAATGCTGAGACAGAATGTTTTAATTGCAGGTTATCTATGTAAAGACATTTAGGCTATTTCGAAGAGTTCAGATAAGTGGTGGCGTATTAACAAAAAAGCATCATGAAGCCGTCAGAGAAGTTCGAAACAAAGGTTTGATGTACTCATCTGCGTTTGCATTCTGCTGGATACCAGGTAATACATTAGTTGTAGGTTCGCATAATTTTTTGGTTTAAAAATCAGGGTACACATTTTTTAAATTAAATAATTTTTATGCACAAGTTAATAATTTGTATTGTATTGCAATATGAGCAAGTTTATTTGAAAATTATTATTTTTTAAATGATTTTTGACATTAGCAAGGTATAATACATCTTTAAGTAACCCAATGAGCAAAGTATTTCAAAGAAGCATAGGAAACCAAAATTGTTGAATTGTATTTTTTAACATTTCATGTGTAGCGTATTCCACCGGAGATCTGCACATTATGTTTTTACTGCAAATAGAAAAAATGCTCGTCATGTATATACTTTTAACTAATATGATTATTCACTATTTATTCTTGTACCCAATAGCACTTGCTCTGGGTCTGACGTCATTTAGCAACCGAGTAGATGTACAAGATATCTATTGGTTGGTTATATTACAGGTATACTTTTTAGTAATCAGTATAATATTACTTTTTATTATTTTTTTTATTGCATAGCGGTGACGACTGAGGGCGCACTCTAGTGGTTAGCAAAAGAATAGTGACTGATAACTGTATCTTTTTTTTTTTTTATAATACATACTCCAAGTATCGTAATGCCATCGTGTCGGGATTTAATATTTCGACATTAATTACCCTATGTCATCATTATTCATTCCTGATGATGACATAATTAATGTTGAAATATTGAATCCCGACACGATGACGTGCATTTTGATACTTGGAGCACCTTTTTTTGTTGTACAAACTTAAAACAGAAGGTACATGGATGGAATAATAATAATTGAACTAACTCCATACTATAACATTTTCTTTAACAAAAAAAAAAAAAAAAATAGAAAAAAAAATCTGTTATATAATAGTGATAATGTGCCTATATGGTCATGATGAGATCTCATTTTTCATTATAACTAACCTTAATTTACCAATTTGTATACCCAATCATGGAATGGAATTTCATGATTGATAAAAGACTGTATATTATACAAATAACGTTTTATAATTTATCACACTCATGTTCATATTATGTTGATCGGCCGCTATCAGAGGTGTGATTTGTTCACCTGTTGGCCTTTTTCCGTCACCGGCAATATTTTATTTCATTGATATTTTTGCCTGTGTAAAGTCGAAGAAATAAATAAAAAAAGATGATTTGTATCGCATTGTTATTATTATTTTAGTCTCTTACAGCCACCCTCCATGGTTTCATGAACTGTGTAATTTACGGATGGAATCGCACCAATTTTACGAATGCACTTAGAGTTGTGAAAAGACAAAAAGAATTTATTGTAAAATATTCGTCATACGGGACCCTTCAGGACAGCAACTGCGACGTTACATGACAACATTGTTCGCCTCAGTAATCATCGGGAAAATGCTGTGTAATAAACTAAGTGTAGTTTTTATCTTTAAGAGCAAAATTAATTTCTATGTATATAATATATGAAAATATTATAAGTAAATAGAATGGATGAATAAATGTTAAACAAATGTACCTTCCGTTTTAATTCTATCCGTCCTTTCCTTTCTCTGCTGTCATTTCCTTTCCAGACTGGACTTTTGTAATTCCCTACACCATGCCCTACCTGCCTCACACATCCGACCCATTCAGAAACTATTCAATTCTATTGCTCGTGGGCCTATGGTTACTGGCACCAAAGTCCGTTCTCACATCACTCCTATCCTTATCCTCACTGGTTACCCATTCAATACAGATCATCCTATAAAATTATTCTTCTCGTCCACAAATGCATTCACAGTTTTGCCCCTGACTACCTTGTCTATAATGTCACCCTTACTCACTCCACCAGCACTACCCGTCAATCTGCTGCTCCATATCTTGTTCTTCCCCGTTTCAAACATGTCAGAACCGGCCAACGCTCATTTCCTTTTCTTGCTCCGAAACTTTGAAACTCGCTCCCGCCTGCCACTAGATCAATTTCTGACTTTAACCTTTTTAAATCCCACCTCAAATCTTTTCTTTTTTCCATTGCTGATGCCAGACAGGGGTGTAGGCTGTCTCTTATACACATCTAGATGTGTATAAGAGACAGGTGTTTTGCTCTTTATTTTGCATTCCTTGTAAAGCGCTAGTGATAACTTCGGTTTAACCGGCGCTATATAAATTTAAAAATCTATCTATCTATAATATACTCGTAATTTAGGTTAAAGATTTCCCCAATGAATAAAATATATGAGCGGCACTGGGTAAGGAAAACTTGATTCTAAGTATCTATTCGTAGAAGTACTATGAAGATAAGCCTATCCAATATTGACATTCAAGGGTCAGGATCAGTACATACCTTGGACCTCAGATTGACAAATATTGAAATATACTATATACAGACACAATGTATACACAGGCCTACTTCTAGAATCCAGTTAAAATATGTAATTATGTATCGAAATGAATATATATAGGTGTATATATATATATATATATATATATATATATATATTATGCTTAAATATGTATTTAGTAAAATAAATTAAATTTAACGAAAATATGGAAGAAGCATAGGAAGAAAGAAGAATAGGAAAGAAATTTGGAGTGGCTGAAATATTTACCGAAAATAAACAATAACTAGAGATACTATGTCCAATAGAACATGAACCCAGTCACCCATAACCACTGTGACCTTTATCCTCAACCTGTGAACACCCCATGTTTGGAAGGAGTCTGTCTAATGCAATTGGTTCAATCGTTAGTCACTAGCAATATTTGATAATTTTCATTATAGTGACCCTTGTGACCTATAGGTGAAGAGTAGTTTTTCATGTTTAGAAGGTCCTAAGGATCATTCCTGGTAAATTCGAGCTCAATTGAGCTATTTTGAAAATTTGACCCTATGTAACCACTGATGCCAGACAGGGGTATAGGAGGTGTTACTGGTTCTTAATGATCAAATTTGATTAAATTCGGTTCAATCGTTTGCCATTAGTAACATTTTGAATATTTGACCTATGAACTTTGACATATGGGGTAAAGAGTATATTTTCGGGTTTAAGATCATTCCTGGTAAATTTAAGCTTAATTGGGCTATTTTGAAAATTTAACCCCAAAGACCCCTATGTGACCCCTGATCCCAGACTGGAGTGTAGGAGGTGTCACCGTTTCTTAAGGACGAAATTTAATTGAATTTCGTCCAATGGTTTGGTATTAGTAGCATTTTAAAAGTGTTACTAGAGAGAACAAAAAATAACCCTTTAATGACATTTGACCGTAAATCGCTGAACACCATAAAGACCATACCTTATGCCAATACATATGTGACCAGGATACGTCTGTGCTATGTTATTTGTGACAGAAGAAACCTCTTATTCACTTTTTTAATAGTTTTTTTTTACCCTAATGACCCCTATGCGACCTTTGATCCTAAGCAGTGAACACCCTATGTATGAGAGGTGTACTGGTTATACTGACCAGGTTTGGTTGAAATAGGCACAACCGTTTGGCACTAGTAGCGTTTTGAAATGTTGCCAGAAAAAGATAAAAATTACCCCTTAATGAACTTTGACCCCTTATCCCTGAACACCCTATAGACTCTGCCTTATGCCAATGTATATGTGCAAAGACAAGACTGTGCTACGTTATTTGTGAGACAAGTAGTCTTTTATACGATTTTTGGTTTTTGACCATAATGCCCCACAACACATAAATGGAAGGTGGCACCGGTCCTACTGACCAAGTTTTAATTAAATCGGTCCAGTAGTTTGCAACCTGTGAGCACCTCATGTTTAGTAGGAGTCTGTCTAATGCAATTGGTCCAATCGTTAGTCACTAGCAATATTTGATAATTTTCACTATAGTGACCCTTGTGATTTTTTACCTATAGTTGAAGAGTAGTTTTTCATGTTTAGAAGGTCCTAAGGATCATTCCTGGTAAATTCGGGGCTATTTTGAAAATTTGACCCTGATGATCCTTATGTAACCACTGATGCCAGACAGGGGTGTAGGAGGTGTCACTGGTTCTTAATAATCAAATTTGATTGAATTCGGTTCAATCGTTTGCCATTAGTCCTTTTGAACCTTTGACCTATGAACTTTGACATATGGGGTGAAGAGTATTTTTTCATGTTTAGAAGGTCCTAAGAATGACAGTGTATAAAAAAGGCACTATTCGAAATACTTAACCTTTGTGAAGAGATGATTAGCTTGAAGTAAATGCTTATATTTCATTGTACCTTTAAACGTATTGCATTAAATAAGTATTTAAAAAAAAAACACATGTGCGCTACGGGAATTGTTGATAATTGTCACATGATACCTTTGTAATTTTAATTTTTAATTGATTTAATGAAAATACTGTTAACAACATCACTTAATCGTCATAACTAGTGGCTAATAATTAGCATCCCCTTTTAATTACTGCACTAAACACAATCTGAAGCTATTAAAAGAAAATTCTCTGGCAGAAATATGCGTTATCTAGTATTGCACAGTACCTTTGACTACGCTCCCATGACACGGAAAATAGCCAATATGGTCGCATAATGCTCATTTAACTTTAACGGACACCAACATAGCGCATTAAATATTATTTAAAGTCAGACTCCGGAGGGGGAAAAATTGATACGTTGTAGAACTGATTTTTCTAAGACAGAAAAAGCTGTTTGATGAAAAAATGGGGAACGGTGAATGAGATACAGATTTGTGAATATTTAAAAGCTGGGGGGGGGGGGTGTAAAAATGGGCAGTTACGCCCCTTTCCCCCAGTATTTAATTAGTCAAAAATCGGCATTTCATTATTTACCGCTCCCCAGTTTTTCGTCAAACAACTTTTAGAACAATCAGTTCTACAATATCAAAAAAAAACGTTTTCTACCGAACCTGAATTTAAAACTGTTAAAAAAAAATAACACTCTCTAGCAAAAATATGTGTTATCTACTGCACAGTACCTTTAACCATACTCACGTGACGTGGGAAATAGCTAATATGGTCGCGTAATACTTTTCTAATTTATGTACACCAACATAGTTCATTAAATACTTTTAAAAACTGTTAAAAGAAAAAAAAACTCTCGTAAATATGTGTTATCTACTGCACAGACCTTTAACTCCCGTGACACGGGGAACAGTATCTAACGTTCACGTAGGCCTACACCAACACAGTGCTTAAATACTGTTTAAAACTGTTTAAAGAAAAAAACACTCCCTAGCGGAATAGAAATATGTGTTATACGGCACAGCTTATAATGCTTAATGCGTAATACCTATCTAACTTTAATTATCCAAAGACCTTATAAACACAAGATAGCGTTCTCCTCGATTTCCGCGTTCAAAATTCTCTAATAACGAAGTGTACGGCGCCCTCTTGCTAAAGTGAAAACCGACCGGTCGTTCTTCGTTAAAACAAGCCCACATGCGCAACGGTAAAATACTACTCAACGATAACGACCAGTCGAATAGAAAATAATAATAATAATAATAATAAGATTTATTAAGCGCACAACTAGTAAATACTCGACAAAACAAAATGGCTGTATAGTTACCGCGATACACGTTGCGTAATCAAGATTGTTTCAACTTGTGGTAGTATGGGTTTTTCGTAAAAAAAAATATTTTCATCCAGTTTTTGAATTATAATAGCCTACAATTATTTTTTTAATCCATGTGGGTAAATATTATAATTTTTATTTTGTGAAATTTATTCTAAGTTATATTAACGCAAATGTTGTTTATAAACTCATCAATCTGCAATTTTTTTTTATTGGTCACGTGGATAACTTAACGCTTATTAACGCACTCTGGTTTACGTTAATTTTCGTTGTCAACGAAGTCTATTTAACGAACCAGTTGAATGAAAATAATACTCAACGAAAATTCGT